GTCAGCGAGCCTGACCACACGATCCCGTTAGTCGCCTCTTACGACAAGCATGGGTTACTGAAGATCAGTTCTAACCCGGACCTTCACGGGTCGGAATCCCGAGAAGTAATGAGATGTAAGACATTCTCAGAGGGAGGAGGGGGCAGGGTGGCCCAGGCAGTTTACGTTGCAGCAAGTTCGCTGTACGGAGTTGCGTCCCTTAGGTATTTTCGGTTGTCAGCACCACATCTGTACGACTGGCATGGGTTGCTGCAGATCAATTCTAACCCGGATCTACCCGGGTCCGACTATAAATAAGGCAACTTGCAGCTGTTCATCTAAAAATTTATTCACATTGGTGTTACAAATTTACATTTCTTAACATCTATTTAAAAAATGATACTGACAAATTACACATATATAAGCAACATATATGAAAGGTTGCGTGTAACATCAGTAGTATATAAGATTAAAACAACTAATATATATTTTTATATATGTATAATGTAGACTGTATATATGACTTGATAAATATATTTTTGTATATTTTGTGTTCGCCGTTATTGTTTTTTCCCTTTTATTATTTCTACTAGTGTTTTCACAATATACACTTTAAAACACCAAAACAGGACAAAAACAATTGGAACTGTTTTTTTCCCTTATTGTTATTTTTCTCTCCATTATTTGTGATTTTGACAATATAAATAATACAAAAATAGAACATATTTTTAGGACAACCCACCACACAAAGTAATATTTTTAAACATTTCTTTCCATTTTTTCTTCTAAAAACTAATAATCTATTTTTGTATTCGTTTTACAGTTTCACAACAAAGCCAATACGATCAGACCATATCATCAGACCAAAACAAATTAATAATCCTTTCTGAAACGCCGAAAGTATTTTTTTCTATAGTTTCCCGGCGAATTTTCGAACGAATGTAAAACGATTTCAAGCAATGGATGAGGCTAGACGGGATAAGAAAGCAAAACAAAGATAAAAAGGACATCTGAATACATCACTCAGAGTATTTCCTAAACACTGAAGTTCATGTAACACATTGCATTTGTGATCATTCATAACACTGGAGTTCATGCAACACTTTGCATTTGTGCTCATTCATAACACTGAAGTTCATGCAACACACTGCATTTGTGATCATTCATAACACTGAAGTTCATGCAACACATTGCATTTGTGATCATTCATAACACTGGAGTTCATGCAACACTTTGCATTTGTGATCATTCATAACACTGAAGTTCATGCAACACATTGCATTTGTGATCATTCATAACACTGAAGTTCATGCAACACTTTGCATTTGTGATCATTCATAACACTGAAGTTCATGCAACACATTGCATTTGTGATCATTCATAACACTGAAGTTCATGCAACACATTGCATTTGTGATCATTCATAACACTGAAGTTCATGCAACACATTGCATTTGTGATCATTCATAACACTGAAGTTCATGCAACACATTGCATTTGTGATCATTCATAACACTGTGGTTCATGAAACACATGGCATTTATGGCCCCTCATCACATTAAGGTTACAGGTAACACAAAGGAGTTGTGATCCTTCATAACACTGCGGTACAGAGCCAACAAATGATAGATTTGGCCCCTCATCACATTGAGGTTCAGGCAACACATGGCAGCTGTGATCATTCATCGCATTGAGGTAGATGTAAAACGTGGCAGTTGTGATGCATCATCACACTGAAGTGTAAGCAAAACATGGCAGATGTGATCTTTCATCACACTGAGGTTTAGCCACACAAGGCAGTTTTGATCCTTTATCGCTTGGAGGTTGAAGTAACACATGGCAGATATGATCCTTTATCACATTGGGGTTTAGGCACACATGGCAGTTTTGATCCTTCATCACATTGGAGGTAGAGGTAACACATGGCAGTTTTGATCCTTCATCACACTGAGGTAGAGGTAACACATGGCAGTTGTGATCCTTCATCACATTGAGGTCCATGCAACAAATGGCAGTTGTGATCCTTCATCACATTGAGGTAGAGGCAACACATGGCAGTTTTGATCCTTCATCGCTTGGAGGTAGAAACAATACATGGCAGTTTTGATCCTTCATCACATTAAGGTGGAGGTAACAAATGGCATCTGTGATCCTTCATCACATTGAGGTAGAGGCAACACATTGCAGCTGTGATCCTTCATCACATTAAGGTGGAGGTAAAAAATGGCAGTTGTGATCCTTCATCACATTGAGGTAGAGGCAACACATGGCAGTTGTGATCCTTCATCACATTGAGGTCGATGCAACACATGGCAGTTGTGATCCTTCATCACATTGAGGTCCATGCAACACATGGCAGTTGTGATCCTTCATCACATTGATGTAGAGGCAACACATGGCAGTTGTGATCCTTCATCACATTGAGGTAGAGGCAACACATGGCAGTTGTGATCCTTCATCACATTGAGGTCCATGCAACACATGGCAGTTGTGATCCTTCATCACATTGATGTAGAGGCAACACATGGCAGTTGTGATCCTTCATCACATTGAGGTAGAGGCAACACATGGCAGTTGTGATCCTTCATCACATTGAGGCAGTGATCCAGTTGTGATCCTTCATCACATTGAGGTAGAGGCAACACATGGCAGTTGTGATCCTTCATCACATTGAGGTAGAGGCAACACATGGCAGCTGTGATCCTTCATCACATTGAGGTAGAGGCAACAAATGGCAGCTGTGATCCTTCATCACATTGAGGTCAATGCAACACATGGCAGCTGTGATCCTTCATCACACTGAGATTTAGCCACACATGGCAGTTGTGATCCTTCATCCCATTTAGGTTTAGGTAGCGCATGGCAGTTGTGATCCTTCATCATGGCAGTTGTGATCCTTCATCACACTGAGGTAGAGGCAACACATGGCAGCTGTGATCCTTTATCACATTGAGGTCCATGCAACACATGGCATCTGTGATCCTTCATCACACTGATATTTAGCCACACATTGCAGTTGTGATCCTTTATCACATTGAGGTAGAGGTAGCACATGGCAGCTGTGATCCTTCATCATATTGAGGTAGAGATAACACATGGCAGTTGTGATCCTTCATCATATTAAGGTGGAGGTAACACATGGCAGTTGTGATCCTTCATCACACTTGAAGGTAGAGGCAACACATGGCAGTTGTGATCCTTCATCACACTGATGTAGAGGCAACACACGGCAGTTGTGATCCTTCATCACATTGAGGTAGAGGCAACACATGGCAGTTGTGATCCTTCATCACATTGAGGTAGAGGCAACACATGGCAGCTGTGATCCTTCATCACATTGAGGTAGAGGCAACACATGGCATCTGTGATCCTTCATCACATTGAGGTAGCGGCAACACATGGCAGTTGTGATCCTTCATCACACTGAGATTTAGCCACACATGGCAGTTGTGACTCTTCATCACATTGTGGTGTAACCAAAATAAGGCACCTGTGATCTTTATCACTTTGAGGTAGAGGCAACACATGGCAGTTGTGATCCTTCATCACACTGAGGTACAGTCAACACATGGCAGTTGTGATCCTTCATCACACTGAGGTTCAGTCAACGCATGACAGTTGTGATCCTTCATCACGTTGAGGTAGAGGAAACGAAAGGCATTTGTGACCCTTCAGCACATCGAGGTTAAGGGGAAAAAAGGCAGTTGTGATCCTTCATCACATTAAAGTTGAGACAAGACAAGGCAGTTGTGATCCCTCATGACACGGAGTTCCACGCAACACATGGCAGTTGTGATCCTTCATCACATTGGGGTAGTGTACGGCAGGAAAGTGGGCACGGGTCACAGCACATCTGTGATCCACGTGATCCCTGTCGATTCAACACGTGACAATGCCCTTTAACGATGACGGCTATTGGTACAATATTACAAAAATGTATATGTCCTCGCAGAACAATTATTTTTGTAGGTTGTGTTTCTTTTTTTTTCTCCCGCTGTTTTTATGATATAGGCTTTTATTTAGTGAACAGGGGGCAAAAATCTCTCATGGAAAACTCATCCAATACAGGAACAACACAGAAGTTCATGTTTCATGGTGGTGCCGTTTTTGATGACATGAAGGAACATGTTCATTTGGCATCCTTGTTCTTTGGTTCTTTGGCCAAATGGAGGAACATTTAACATTGCTGTTCCCTGATCACATTCCTTGTTGCAGTAGCGATCCTTCATGACAGAGACATACAGATAACAAGCTGTAGTGCTACAGGGCACATCAGTCACAAATTTGTGAGCTTGCTGGAACATTAGTCTTTCATTTTCGTCCCAGTATGAGCCGTGTCTCTTCAGAGCAAGGTCATGCTTTGTGTCAGCTAATCTGACCAGTCTGTCACACCCATCACAAATATTATTAGCAGTTCGCTGTACCATTTTTGGTCACGCTGGGAGTCTTTGACAAAATCAGCTCTCGTGACACGTGATACAGATGTGCGAGTATAACACAAGTTTGGAATAAACAATCTTAGGACGACCACCAATCACTTAGCAAATGAACATTCACACAATGAAAGGAATGTGACAATCAAATCAAATTCAATGACAAAATACAATGAAGCAAGGTCTACATATAAGGAACAGTGTCGGTGGTGCTGAACAAGAAGACTAACGTAAGATTTCCTTTTCAAGGATCGAATTTTTTTTTTACAAGAAATCACATGTTAATCTAGCAAAGAATGTTGCTCTACGCCGCTGTCAGTGCTTTTCCAACTACATCACGGCGGTCTGGGACGTAATCGAATCTGGACCAGACAATCCATTGGTAGGAGAGCGTGCATCGATCCACTACGTCGGGTACGATCACGCAATTGATTACGTCGCAGCTGCGTGGATATTTGACCTCATTATCTCTTCTCAGCAGCCATTGTGACCACCTGATACCCATTTTATTCGCCCTGTACGACAAGCATGGGCACAGGTGAGACCCAGCACCAGTTACGACATTAGGGAGTTGTAATCTCATACTGTTCAAAAGACGCCCCAGAAATACTTTGAATCTAGGGCGCGTCTCGCTGTGATACGACCTGAAGGATTCAGATCTAAGCATCGTTTCACAAGGTTCACGACATTGCTGTCAATGTTTCTCAAGGTTGCAATGTCCGGGCCCTTGTAGAAGAAGGACATGTCGGTTATGAGATCGTGCCTGATAGGAAATGGAAAACTCCTTGTAAGGGTTTCGTAGATGGTCACACCGGCACTCCATACATCAAATGATCTTGCCCATGTGTCCTTTGTAGCACGCATATCTTCCATATGTACCTCTGGTGGAGCGTAGACGGGCGTGTAGAAGGTAGGAAGTCTATGTTCGGGTGTTTTCTCTTCCGTCAGATTAAGCGCCCCACCGAAGTCAATGAGCTTTATCATATACTTTGGGCCTATGAGGATGTTATCCGGTTTGATGTCCCTGTGAGCGATATTTTGACTGTGAAGATATCTGAGGGCTGAAAAAAGCTGTTTCGCAATGGATTTGAGGTACTTCTTTCTCCATTTGAGAGAATGACTTTGAATGAAATGATCCATGTCATATCCTTTGACCAGCTCCATGATCATAATCATCCTACCTGCGTGTCTGAACAGTTCGTAGGCTTTTATGATGTTCTCGTGGTTCACTGATCCTAAAACGTTGAATTCATTCTCCCAGGTACGTCTTATGAAGCCATCACGGTGGCATTTATGTCTAGAAACCTTTGCCGCGTAGAACTTTCCATCCTTCCTTACCCTGTATACTACAGCCGCCCCACCAGAGCTGATCAGTGACTCGAACTGATACCCACTGATGAATTCGCCAACGAAATTTGGTTCCAGAATGTCATCACGTTTCCGGGGTGTCTTGACGGCGAAGGTCTTCCCTGGGCCTGGCTTTTCGTCAACTGGTGCAGCAGGCACGTGAACTGATGGAATCTTCCTTCGGGCTGGAGCAGGCTTGGGGACCGACGGAGTCTTCTCTCGGGCTGGAACAGGCTCGGGAACTAATCGGGTCTTCCCTCGGGCTGGAGTAAGTGCATGACCTGATGGAGTCTTAACTCGGGATGGAGCAGCCTTATGAGCTGATGGACTCTTCTCTCGGGCTGGAACAGGCTCGGGAACTAATCGAGTCTTCCCTCGGGCTGGAGCAACTGCATGTCCCAACGGAGTCTTCCCTCGGGATAGAGACGCCTTAGGAACCAATGACAACTTCTCTCGAGATGGAGCAGTCTCATGAACTGATGGAGTCTTTCCTCGCAGTGGAGCAACCTTAGGAAGCAATGGAGTCTTCCCTCGGAATGGAGCAGGCTCGTGAACTGATGGAGTCATTCCTCGCAGTGGAGCAACCTTAGGAAGCAATGGAGTCTTCCCTCGGAATGGAGCAGGCACGTGAACTGATGGAGTCTTTCCTCGCAGTGGAGCAACCTTAGGAAGCAATGGAGTCTTCCCTCGGAATGGAGCAGGCTCGTGAACTGATGGAGTCTTTCCTCGCAGTGGAGCAACCTTAGGAAGCAATGGAGTCTTCCCTCGGAATGGAGCAGTCTCATGAACTGATGGAGTTTTCCCTACAGATGGATCAGCCTTTTGAACTGATGGAGTCTTCCCTCGAGATGGAGAAGCTTTAGGAAGCAATGGAGTCTTCTCACGGGATGGAGCAGCCTTATGAACTGATGAAGTCTTCCCTCGAGCTGGAACAGCCTTTTGAACTGATGGAGTCTTCCCTCGCAATGGGGAAACCTTTGGAAGCAATGGAGTCTTCTCACGGGATGGAGCAGGCTCGTCAACTGATGCAGTTTTCCCTCGAGATGAAGAAGCCTTAGGAAGCAACAGAGTCTTCTCACGGGATGGAGTCTTCCCTCCAGCTGGAGCAGCCTTATGAATTGATGGAGTCTTCCCTCGAGCTGGAGCAGGCTCGTCAACTGATGGAGTCTTCCCTCGAGATGAAGAAGCCTTAGGAAGCAACGGAGTCTTCTCACGGGATGGAGTCTTCCCTCGAGCTGGAGCAGCCTTATGAATTGATGGAGTCTTCCCTCGAGCTGACAAAGCCTTTTGGACTGATGGAGTCTTCTCTCGGGCTGGAGCAGCCTTTTGAACTGATGGAGTCTTCCCTCGCAATGGGGAAACCTTTGGAAGCAATGGAGTCTTCTGAACTGATGGAGTCTTTCCTCGAGTAAGAGTAGCCTCCAGAACTGATGGAGTCTTTCTTCGGGATGGAGCAGCCTTTTGAACTGATGGAGTCTTACCTCGGGATGGAGCAGCCCTATGCACTGTTGGAGTCTTCCCTCGGTATGAAGCAGCCCTATGATCTGATGGAGTCTTCCCTCTGTCAAGGTTGGGCCCATGAACAGATGGACTCTTCTCTCTTGTTGGATTCGGGCCTTGAAATGATGAACTCTCATCAGATTTTGGAGATGGACTCTTCCAGCGAGCTGGACCATGCTCATCAACTGATGAGTTTTCCGTTGACGAGTCAAGGTGAGGGTCAGATGGCGCTTCTCTTAGTGCCTCCGCATGCTTTTGAGCACGTGAACCTTGGCCTTGAGAAGCAGGGTTTTTTTACATCATCAATAGATTTCTCACCGCTCGGGGCTGATGAATGAACAGATGGGCTTTGGATATTTTCCACTTCTTCCCCAGAAGAATTTAAGTAGTTTCCCCAAGTTTCGGCAGCAACATTATGGGGGCCGGCCGTCTTGGAGAGGAACCTCGTACGTCCACCTTGAAAGGAAGAACAGGTGTTGATTATGATTACAGTGGGGTGACTTGGTCACATTTTGGTGTAATATGTCAGTGGTCATTAATTATCCATAATCCCTCCACTACAATTCTATAACATTTCGACATGTATTCTATGACCTGCATTTTTATGTACTTCTACGGCCTGCGTGTTTCACTATTGTTTTATATGTGTACGAACAGTTTCAATGAGTTTCTTGTATCTGTGTGCCGAGGGGTTGATACCCATTGGTATCATGATTAGGGGAACAACACCTGTGACGCATACATTTGAAAACTGTCACAGGAGTTGCACTGAGTGAATTATGCTTCACGCCGGAGTCAAATATAAATATCACTTTTTCTTTTTCATAATTATATTCTTTGCAAAATACAATAAATTACAGTCTATTAGACGATGAAATATATTTACAATTTGCAAAACAATAATACTGGTATTTCAGTGGTGGAAACTAAGCGGGGTTCGAACTTTATGTATGGAACTGATGAATCTCCACATCTATTTTACGATGTAGATGGAGTGATCTCCCCTAGAGAGTAAACAAAAATGGCTGCCACTACGGTAACGCTTGAAATCTAATGGAGGATATTTCCTAGATTATTTCCTACACAGCCGTAAAATGATATAGGAGTAAGCGTGACCGAGCCGGCTTTTGAAAGGTAGGTGGAACCTGTAACTGGGTTAAATCCCTTTTCTGGTGAGGCCAAACTTTCTGCTTGCTGCTTTTCAGAGGCTGTGAGGAGATATTGAAGTTTTACATACATATTGCTTTACCTTATGTTACTTTTACATGCATCTAGCCTACCGCTACAAAGGACATACATGTAGCTATCGGAAATCCTACGTGTATCAGGAATACCCTGGTTTTGCAGGAGTGACTTTGTAATTTTATTATACAGAAGTACAGATAAGCTGCGTATCTGCGTAAATTACGCAAATATTTATGTGAAAACTCAAGTCCATTGCGTACAATAATACTCAATAAATGTGATCTTACATGCGTACACACAAAGATGTCAAATCGTAAATTGCGTACCGGGGGATAGATAAAATAGCTGAAGTATATTGAGAGGTTCTATTTCAGGGCATGAACTTGACAACTTGCAGTCTTTCATATCGTTTCTCATATTACAGATCATATGTAAATCACAAACACTAACATTTAAACTTTATTATAATTTTAAAATTAATGGAACATGGCAAAATACTCGATTGAGTTTGAGTGAGGCGAGTACAATTTATTTGGTTACTCAAAGGTACATTAGGATACCCAGTTGAGATGAAGACAAGCCAGTACATAACTCAATGACCCAAAGAGTTATCTGTAGCTCTGTTTATATTTCACCGATGTCTACAATAGTATAACATAGATACATATTGTGGATGAGTTACCCAATGAATGTAATGTTCTGCTGACTGAAACATCAAATTTTGTAAAATGTAGAAATATATACACGAGGAACAGAATTGTCAATATTTGCCTGAACCTAGGCGGATTATAATAAATCCAAGATACAGTCTGAGTACACTAGTTTGAGTAGGCTCGTCAATATTTGGTATTCAACAATACAGGCTAGTTAGTACTTGGTATTCAGCAATACAGGCTAGTTAGTACTTGTTGTTCAGCAATACAGGCTAGTTAGTACTTAGTATTCAGCAATACAGGCTAGTTGGTACTTGATATTCAACAATACAGGCTAGTCAGTACTTAGTATTCAACAATACATGCTAGTTAATACTTAGTATTCAACAATACAGGCTAGTAGGTACTTAGTATTCAGCAACACAGGCTAGTTAGTACTAATTTTTCAACAATACATGCTAGTTATTACTTTGTGTTCAACAATACAGGCTAGTTAGTACTTAGTATCCAACAATACAGGCTAGTTAGTACTTGGTGTTCAACAATACAGGCTAGTTAGTACTTGGTATTCAACAATACATGCTAGTTAATACTTAGTATTCAGCAACACAGGCTAGTTAGTACTAATTTTTCAACAATACAGGCTAGTTATTACTTTGTGTTCAACAATACAGGCTAGTTAGTACTTAGTATTCAACAATACAGGCTAGTTAGTACTTAGTATTCAACAATACAGGCTAGTTAGTACTTAGTGTTCACCAATACAGTCTAGTTAGTACTGAGTATGCAGCAATACAGGCTAGTTAGTACTTAGTATTCAGCAATACAGGCTAGTTAGTACTTAGTATTCAGCAATACAGGCTAGTTGGTACTTGATATTCAACAATACAGTCTACTTAGTTCAACAATACAGTCCAGTTAGTACTTAGTATTCAGCAATACAGTCTAGTTAGTATTTGATATTCAACAATACAGTCTAGTTAGTACTTAGTATTCAGCAATACAGGCTAGTTGGTACTTGATATTCAACAATACAGTCTAGTTAGTACTTGATATTCAACAATACAGGCTAGTTAGTACTTGATATTCAACAATACAGTCTAGTTAGTATTTGATATTCAACAATACAGGCTAGTTAGTACTTGATATTCAACAATACAGTCCAGTTAGCAGTCTGTCTCACAATCCCTGAACCACATTATTTCCCCTACTGCCAAATCCTATCTGCAGTGCTTAAGCCCTAAATAAAGCTGAATCTGAATCTCTGGTCCCCCTGGGGCTACTTTTATATAGTTAGTACTTGATATTCACCAATACAGACTAGCAAGTACTTGGTATTCAACAATACAGGCTACTTATTACTCTATATTCAACACTACAGGCTAGTTAGTACTTGGTATTCAACACAACAGGCTAGATAGAACTTGGTATTCAACACTACAGGCTAGTTAGTACTTGATATTCAACACTACAGGCTAGTTAGTACTTGGTATTCAACAATACAGGCTACTTATTACTCTATATTCAACACTACAGGCTAGTTAGTACTTGGTATTCAACACAACAGGCTAGATAGAACTTGGTATTCAACACTACAGGCTAGTTAGTACTTGATATTCAACACTACAGGCTAGTTAGTACTTGATATTCAACAATACAGACTAGTTAGTACTTGGTATTCAACACTACAGGCTACTTATTACTTGGTATTCAACACTACAAGCTAGTTAGTACTTGATATTCAACAATACAGGCTTGTTACTATGTTAGTTTGACATTCAAGGAAACAGGCTTGTTGATCATGTTGATACTAGTTAGTACTTGGTATTCAACAATACAGAACTGAATGAATCTTCGGTGACACCTAATTTATGTATTCAAATACTACATTCTCCAGACGAATGAATTTCACTAAAATTAGGATACAGATTGGTTTATCATGACTAAACTTTCAAATAATCTAACCCAATTTACAGGATCTAGGCTTTGGCCAAGCAGCAGGTTTCAGTGAACTAATTGCTGGTCGACCTATGTGGTGTTTGTTTCCAGGTAAATTAAGCAAAACATTTGAAAAATATTGCTATGAAAGTTACCAGACTTGTTTACTTACACACAAGACACAACATACATGTTTTGGACTTACGAGAGCATATACCAATAGGAGAAAAAATATTCAAAAGTATTTAATCAGTGAGAACACATAACAATGACGTTTTCAGTATTGGATTGTTTAGGCTAACTTTGAACATATGAGTGAATATGATAAGGGAAAACAACTTCATGAAGACCTCTAAAATCCACCCTATTGACACTTGCAGTGAGAGCTACAACCCCTGTATTATTGCAACAACACACGCTTGTGTTTAAATGAACCTAAATACCCATGTAGAAAAATTATATACTTTCAAAGCATTTTTAAAGGATATTACTATTTTCAGTAATAAGGGTTGTCCAAGAAGAATCACTGTCATAGCTTTTGACCTGATTTGATGCTGATCAATCAGCTGGCTTTGCTACAAAAATGATGACTCAGGGTAACATACAATGTTTTAATGTCTCACATCTTTGTAGAGACATTGTCTCAGTGTCAAAACAAAACCAGATTTTTTGTTTTTATTTAACAGTTTGAAGATAATTATTTTACTAGTATATTTTTGGCATAAACTTCCAGAATATATATTTAGAGAGACATTTGTTGCTCACAAAGTGTTATTTTATACTGGAAATCTACCTAGCAGGTAATTGCACTGTTATATAGTCTATATTATATGTAAGTCACAAACTCTGTGCGGATGGTGGGATAGCCTTGTGGTTAAAATGTTTGCTGGTCACCCGAAGACCTGGGATAGATTTCCCACATGGCAACAATGTGTGAAGCCCATTGCTAGAATATTGCTAAAAGCAACCTAAAAACTAAACTCACTCACTCACAAACTGTAGAAAAATGCTATTCTATAACCATTATACTATTTCATATTTACTGCAGTGCATGAAGCCTGTAACCACTGCTGTAATTTCACAAGGACATTAACATACCACATCAGATTATAGGATTATGATGCTTAGTGTTCATAACCAGCGGTTAATCATTAGTGATTAAAGACACTGACAGTATAGCATATAAACTATAGAATTATGATGCATAGTATATTTAATAAGTTGTTTATCATTTGTCATTAGGGACTCTGACTTGACATAGCATATAGACTATAGGATTATGATGAATGGTATATTTTACTAGCAGTTAATCATCAGTCATTAGAAACACTGACTTGACATAGCATATAGACTTTAGGATTATGATGAATGGTATATTTTACTAGCAGTTAATCATCAGTTATAAGAGACACTGACTTGACACAGCATATAGACTATAGGATTATGATGAATGGTATATTTAACTAGCAGTTAATCATCAGTCATTAGAGACACTGACTTGATACAGCATATAGATTATAGGATTATGATGGATGGTATATATAACTAGCAGTTAATCATCAGTTATAAGAAACACTGACTTGACATAGCATATAGATTATAGGATTATGATGAATGGTATATATAACTAGCAGTTAATCATTAGTCATTAGAGACACTGACTTGACACAGCATATAGATTATAGGATTATGATGAATGGTTTATTTAACTAGCAGTTAATCATCACTCATTAGAGACACTGACTTGACATAGCATATAGATTAAGGATTATGATGAATGGTATATTTTACTTGCAGTTAATCATCAGTTATTAGAGACACTGACTTGACATAGCATATAGATTATAGGATTATGATGAATGGTATATTTTACTTGCAGTTAATCATCAGTCATTTGAGACACTGACTTGACATGGCATATAGACTATAGGATTATGATGAATGGTATATTTAACTAGCAGTTAATCATCAGTTATAAGAGACACTGACTTGACATAGATATAGACTATAGGATTATGATGAATGGTATATATAACTAGCAGTTAATCATCAGTTATAAGAGACACTGACTTGACATAGCATATAGACTATAGGATTATGATGAATGGTACATTTAACTAGCAGTTAATCATCAGTTATAAGAGACACTGACTTGACATAGCATATAGATTATAGGATTATGATGAATGGTATATATAACTAGCAGTTAATCATCAGCTATAAGAGACACTAACTTGACACAGCATATAGACTATAGGATTATGATGAATGGTATATTTTACTAGCAGTTAATCATCAGTCATTAGGGACACTGACTTGACATAGCATATAGATAATAGGATTATGATGAATGGTATA